TTTTCTGGTTCTTTGGAATTCTAATTTTTTTTTGATATAAATTGTTCTATCCTTGTGATTACGTTCAAATGGCCTGACAACAATAATGGAACTCTTTAACAGAAAAACTGTCTTAAGACCTGAATTTGTGAATTCCAGGAATTGTGGACTGGGTTTTTTCACTGTCACGATACCATGTGCTATTTCATTCCCAATCACAACCTGTTTTCCACTTGAAAAACAGTACCGCCGACATTCGAGGCACGAATCACGCTTTCATAACAGATGAACTACATAAGCCAAAATTAGCAATTGTTATACTATGAAATTACTTTTCAATAAGGCTCAAATTTACATCACTACAAAATCAGTGAAATGACATTACGGACTAAAAACTACATAGTAAGTCGCCTATATCCCATTGGAACACCCTTAATCCTATTTAATCACTTCTTTCCTTTCGATTCATCAACTTATCTGTTTCGTTGGTTTTCTCCTGTTATTCTTATTCGACAGTTTTTTTTGAAATTGACTTCATAGCATTTCCTTTTGCTGGTGCCTAGGAAACCAAAAATGGATTGGGACCACGTTGCGAAGCCACACATAGTGGCGCTGGCGATCCCGCAATCTCACAATCGCTGGAGTCGTGAGTTAGGGCGCATGCATAGTCGGTCGTCCGACAGCAACGATCGTAACTGTCGCACAGTTAGATGTATCGATCGTCGAATACTCAGGCAAGTCCGACGATCGATACGCATCCAATGCTGTGCGACAGTTACGATCGTTGCTGTCGGACGACCGACTATGCATGCGCCCTTATGACCGCCACCTTAGTGAACAACCAATGATTGTGAGCTTGCTGATTAATTCCTTGCAATTAATGGAATCTGCGACTAGGATCCGAAGCGTGCCGATCCTGTACTCCGGCCAATCGGTGCTTCGCATATCATCTGGACTTCAAAGGCCACATTCAAAAGTAACACGCTCCATCACTCAATTACCGCATTCGGAGCCTCGTTTCGAAGGTAACTCATCCGACTACGGAAACATAGACGAAAAAGGATCCAAAAGGGACGTTCGAAAAAGACCAAATAGACCAGTTAGGTCAAATAAATTAAGCGAATGAGGGAAGAAACAATAGCACGCCAAACGCGATACTTGGGGTTGCTTC